TTTTTTTTTTTAAAAAAAAAAAAAAAAAAGATGACCGGTAAGGGGATCTTAACCCTTGACTTGGTGTTGTCAGCACCACGCTCACCCAATGAGCTAACCGGCCATCCCTATATGGGATCCGAACCCGTGGCCTTGGTGTTATCAGCACCACACTCTTCCAAGTGAGCCACGGGCTGGCCCCCTAATTTGCTTTCTGATCTCGACCTTCCATCACCGGGTGGGGCATGCTGCTTTTTTTCTGCTACAGACCTTCTAGTATCTGTATTCAGGCCAAGCCATTTGAGGTACTGGCTGTCTTTGGCATGGGCAATAGAAGGACTTTATACATATAGGAGGGAGGGTACAAAGGGAACCGTAGCTATATCTATTTGAATAAAAAGCTTGAATTCAGGATAAGAATTGTGATGGGAGTTCTCTAATAGAGAACATACCTTAGTCTAAGGCTTTCGGTTGGTTGTTTCTTTTTGCTTGAACAGAATTCAATCTGGTGGCAGGTGTCCTCCAACCTGTACCTAACTGGCAGCCCAGTGACCGGGGCCCTGGTTCTGGAGCGGTTGCACGCACATGGGGCCCAAGGGAGGTCCTTCCATCCACTGTGCAGCCCCAGGGGTGTGGCATCACTCGCCCACTCGCTGTTCACTCACCACTCTTGTTGAGGAAGGTCCCATTCTCACAGGGCACACACTCAAAGCAACAGTGGTGAAAACCCACAACTACTCGCCGGTACCCTTCAAGGCAGTTGCTGGAGCACACAGACTCGGGCACCTGTAAGAAGGCACAGGTTTTCTGCAACCATATGGACGGGCCCAAGTCAAGGGACATCTCACATGTGGAACAGATAATAGAATCTATCTCTATCTGCCCTTGTGGCTCACTCCCAGGGCAGAGCCCCCAATCAGGTGAACCAACGCCCAACTGGCATCTGTGAGCTAGCCCATGGAGCCAGCTTCCCTGCTTCTCTGACGGGCTGGGTAGAGTGATGGTGGTCTGGCACCTGAGGTCCCCCTCCTGGTCTGTGTAAGCTGTGTCAGCATCACCCCCAGGCTCCAGGCTGCCCATAAGGCGGTCACCTGGTGAGTAACCACATCCCCATTACCTGATTGTTCTTTCCATGCCACTGGATTTTGGTCTTATTTATGTCCAGCTGAACTGGAGACCTCGTGGAGGAGCCAATGACCCTGAAGGTCCAACTGGGCCCACTCCAGTCCCAGGCAATTATGTTATAGTTACTGATGGGGTCCCCATTGTTGTCAAATGTCACAGTGTCATTGTGTAGAAGAAAATTCACCTTGCGGATCTGCTCCAGAAGCTGAAACAAATAGATATCCTGAAGCCACAGTGAACAACACAAAGACGGCCTGGAAGCAAGTACCTGGGGCCTTCTTGGGCTTCCACCCTGTGTGGTTTCAGCCCACCTAGAAGGTCTGGCCCCTTCCTCAGAGCCTCTCCCCTCCTACAAAGCCCCTTGATCCTCTTACCAAGATCCTGACAAGGGGCCTCTAACAAAGGACTCCTTTACAGAGATTTTTAGCCCTGGAATTTGTCCCTTGATGCTTCTGAGGCATGGTGGGTGGGAGAAAGCAAGATTCAGAGAGGAGGAGACTTTGTCTAAGAGAAGATACCAGCCCTCAAGGCAGTGGTTTTTGTTCCCTCTGGCACTTAGGGTGGCCAGAGAGTGCCCAGTCTGCTTGTCTCAGGATTGGCTGTCCTCCCCCATACCGGGTGCCTGGGGCTGGACTCCCTTACCTGCCAAGGATAGACTTGGCTCCTGGAACAGGCTCCAGAGGCACAGCCCAGGAGCTGGTGGAGGCCATGAGCCACGGCGTACACAGCCTGGTACGTGTTGTAGGCAGAACTCATGGAGAAGGCTTCAAGCTTGGGCATCGTGTGTGCTGAGAAAGCATGACAATCTGTGCAGAGCTGATTGCTGCTGCACCAGGAATCCTCGGAGCAAGGCCTGGGAGCCTCCTTGTCTGCCTGGGCATAGGCCTCTTCAAACTCCTTTAGGCCAGTGATGAGCTTCTTCTGGATGGCCACACCCAGCACCATCCCAATGCCCCGGATCCCGGGCACCTCAGTAATGTGTCTGGAGATGGCCCAGGCTTCTGAGGCGATCCACACCTTGCCAGTCAGGTTGGTCAATATCACGGACTCGAAAAACACCCTGGCCAGCTGCCGACTGGAGAAAACTACCACGACGGTGGCCCTGACTTGGGCCAGGTGACACATCATTCTCTGCATCTTCTCATTGCCCACATGGGCAAAGGAAGGCACGGTGTCCTTGAAGGCAATGCAGATGCCATAATGGGTGGCCTGGTCCTCCAGTGCCCGCAAACCCAGCATCCCGTAGTCATCGTCACTGCCGACCAGTGAGATCCAGACCCACCCGAACTTCTGCAGCAGCAGCAATATGACCTCCACCTGGTGCTTGTCACTGGGGATGGTGCGCAGAAAAGAGGGGAACCGCCACTTCTCGCTGAGCATCATGCTGCTGGCCCCGTAGCTGATCTGTGGGGGTCCCATTCAGTGAGTTCAGTGGCATCGACCTGGACTGAAGGCCCCCCAGTGCCTGGCCCTGTGCTGGGTGTGGGGATGCAGGGAGGATAGAGACCAGGAGAGCAGAACATGACACATGAAACCAACAAATTACACCTAAAGAACTGCACAGGCTCCACAGGGGAGGCCTCTTGGAGAGGAGTGGGGATCTGCCTGGTAGATGAGGCAGAGGAGTCGCGCATTCTAAGCAAAGGGCACAGAACCTGCATACGGGGAGTGAGAGAGTGCTGTGTGTTCGGGACCTACAGGCACTTCAGTTTGGCCAGAGGTCCTGTGCAGGGAAGAAGGGGAGCTTGAGTAGGTCAGGGCAGGAGCCTTAACTCTCCATCTGAGGGGCTTGGTGTCTATCCTGTGGGTCATGGGGAGCCCTGAGGGTTTCCACAGATAAGTGATACATTCAGACTTGTGTTTTAGGAGTCTCTGACTTCAGTAAGGAACGTGTTCGAAAAGGCTCAAGACTAGAGTACCCTTAGGGGAGAGGGAGAACCCAAGGAGAACCTTTAGGAGTCTCATGAAATAATCTAGACGAGAGATGACAGTGGGCGGAATGAAAGCTGTGATAATGGCAATGGAGAAGAGGGGATGGACTTGGCAGCGTTTAGAAGGAAGTAGAGGCCTCGGTAACAGGGGAAGGCGGAAGGTAGGTGGCTAGGCCTGCTGGGTTTCCAGTCTGGATAGAGACGGTCGCTCTAATCACCACGTGGGCCGGCGGGGGTGGGGTGCAGGAAGAAAAGAGGCTGCTGTTGTGCAGTGGGGCAAGGTTAAACCACAGCATGCTGCGGAGATGCCAGGTGAGCATGGTGCTCAGAGGCCAGGACAAGAAGGGACTGAGAATGGGAAGTTAAGCCACGGAGCCTATGGCCTGCCTGGGGGTGGGAAAGGAGAAGGGAGTCACCTGCCTTCTCAGAACAGGTGGGGCAGGAGGAGCTTCTGTGCAGCCCGAGAAAGAGGTGCTGCGAGTGACAGCCAAGGGGTCATAAATGCCCAGGAAAGAGCGTCATAGGAGGACTGGTCAGAAATGTCACCAAGAAGTCCCATGAGATAAAGAAGGCCTGAAAAGCGCCCACTGGATTTGGAGAGCTGGAAGGCCCTGCAGCTCACAACAGGAGCAAGAGTGGAGGTGCTCCGCGGCCCGCAGAGAGAGCACGCAAAGCAGGGGAGCCTGCAAGCCGAGACGGTCCCCGGCCAGCTTGTGGGAATCCATCTGGTGAGTCGATGAGCACAGCAGGCGGCCAGGCCCGAGGGACGGGACTGGCCTCAACAAGGTGAAAGACGCCACCACCTCTGAGCCTGAGCCGGGAGGGAGGGCAGGCAGGCAGGTGTACAGCCAGGACAGAAGTGACTCCATTTCGTTAAGCCTTTGAATTTAAAAACTTGTTCTGTCCTGTAACCCAAACCACACAGCCTGTAGTTAATTGCCAGAAAACAATGACTCTTGTTCTCACAATGTACACAAATAATTAGAGAAACATTATCAATCCAGATGGCCACTCTTTACTAGCTTCCTAACCTGATCTTATTTGAGAATAACAGGAAGTGAACCCACGGAGGATGAAGTATGACACTGGTCACCTCCCACCCAGGAAGTTCCTCGATGACTGTCTGAAACACTCAGGCATGTCTGCTTGGTCACCATGAGTCAACTTTGCACCACAGACCCCTATAAAAACCCTTTGGCAAACCTGGGACCGGCGGAGATGGCCTTTGAGACACGTCTGCCATTTCCCCAGGCTGCCGGCGTCCTGATTAAAGGCTGCCTTTCCTTACACTAACACTTGTCTCTCAATTATTGGCTACTGAACAGGGAGCAAAGGGACCTTTGGGGTCTCGGCAACAGTGAGGTGGGGAGACGTGGAGAAGTTTATGGGGTGGGAAGTGAAGGGCGTTGAGTTCTTAATGGAGGCAATGGGGCCTTTGGACCGATGGAGGGGAGCGGAGCCCAGAGGGTGTACAGCCCAGCAGCGACAGTTCCAAAGGAGAATGGGTTTCCCAGGGAGGGCTGAGGCCAGGAGATCTGGAAGCACCCCTTGGAGAGGAGGGAAGATTGGGGCAGGGACCATGATGGGCAGGGACCTCTGCATTGTGTTTATTTTTTATTTTTTTATAAGATGACTGGTAAGGGGATCCCAACCCTTGACTTGGTGTTGTCAGCACCACGCTCTCCCAGGTGAGCTAACCAGCCATCCCTATATAGGGATCCGAACCCGTTGCCTTGGTGTTACCAGCACCACACTCTCCCGAGTGAGCCACGGGCCGGCCCCCTGCATTGTGTTTAGAGAGCAGTGTCCACCCAAGAGATCCAGGGGGCCACACTGGCCTCAGGGGGCAGCAGCTCCTGCCCACCCATCCCAGCCCACTTGCCAGAAGGGAGATGGGCAAACCTCAGAGGCTCCAGCTTACCAGGGGTACCAGGAAGGAGCCCAGCAGGGGAGCAGTGGTGGCAGCTCGGGTGGTTGTGTCGGGCCCAATCACGGCCACCACCTTGGGGGAATAGTGGGGAAGGCTTCTCTGGATCTCTATGTGGTTTGTCCCCGGCAGGGAGAGCACGCTCAGCGTGGCATACACATTGGCAGACTCTGAACACACGTCATACAGCTCATACCCCAGGGTGATATTGGGCAGCAGGGTCGTGGAGTTGTTTATCTCCTCAATGCCAAATCGCATGGCCTGCAAGAGGTGGTAGCCGTGGCCGTTGAAGCTGTCGGGCCTGTGGGGAAGCCAAGCAGAGAGCTGAGAAGGACAAGGCCCTGCTGAGACCCTGTGGCCTCCTAGAAGCCCAGGCTTTGGGGGTAGAAAGGAACCTCTGAGATCATCTGTCCAGTCCCCTACAAACATGACCTTGCCGTGGGCCCTGAAGCACACACTCAGTCCCTTCCAGTGGTTGTCAGCCCAGGGTGAGGTGGGGAGCAGGGTGGAGAAATGGACATAGCACGCTCCCCCCGCTCCCCAGGAGCATGTTAGCCTGTGGCAGAGGAACATGTTAGTGAGGGTCCTCCACAGAAACAGAATCAATGGGATATATATAGAGAGAGAGAAAGAGGTTTATTTTATTTTATTTCTTGGTGGCTGCCCAGTATGGGGATCTGAACCCTTGTCCTGAGAGAGATTTATTTTAAAGAAATGGCTCACATCATTGTCAGGGCTGGCAAATCTGAAATTTGCAGGGCAAGCCAGTAGACTGGACATTCTGGCAAGACTTGATATTGTGGTGTTAAGTCCAAGGGTTGTATGAAGGCAGAATTTCCTCCTTTTCCAGGCACCTCAGTCTTTTCTCTTAAGGCTTTTGACTGATTGGAGGGGGCCCACCTGCCGTATGGAGAGGGATTTGCTCCACTCGGTCTATTGATTTATATGGGTTTTTTTTTTTTTTCTTTTTTGTCTTTTTTCGTGTCCGGCAACGGATTGCAACCCTCAGTGTCGCGCCCGTACCGGATCGGGACCGGCAACGGGATCGCAACCCTCGGCGCTGCGTCCGCACCTCGCTCAGCCAGTGAGCGGGAACCGGTCTGTATGTGGGATCCGAACCCTCGGCGGGAGCGCCGCCGCACTCCCAAGCGGCGCACTGTAGCAGTGCGCCACCAGGCCGGCCCTTATATGTTAATCTTAATGACACCTTAAAAAAATACCCTCATGGCCAGCTGCAAAAACACCCCAAAAAACAAAACCTTCACAGCAACATCCAGACTGGTGTTTGACCAAACTACCCTGGGTACCATAGCCAAGAGGAATTGACGCATAAAATTAACCACCACACCTGTTTAACCTTGTTAAATGAGTGCTTCTCCCCAGGACACTTATGAATGTGTTGACAGCCTCTGTACCTTGTTGCCCCTACTTTGGGAACTGCTGTCTGGAACGCAGCAGGGACAAGCTGGGGATGTGGCTCAGCCCTGTTAAAGAGTACACTAGCCTGTTCCATTTTCCAGCCTCTCCACTCGTTAGAAAGTTCTTCCATTGCTTCTTTCACCTCTGTCCCTTGAGTCACTCAGAGGGGGCTCAGTGCCTCCAGCACGCAACAGTCCTTCAGTTATCTGAAGCCAGTTTTCATGTGTCTTCCCCCTCTCTCTGCCCCACCCAGCCCATCTTCCCAGACCATTTTCTTTTCCTAGTCTCCCAGCTGCAGCTCTTTGGGCTGGTCGTCATGCACCAAGATTTCCAGAACTTCCTCCTGGGCCAGTTGTCGGGGGTGCTTCACATGTAGGGCATCTTGCAGCCACGCACTGACAGCACTCTCCTGCCTCCAGACCTGTCATTTGCACGGTCTACAAGCAACTGTCTTCTTTAAAAGCGAAGCAGTTTTTCTGTACCTAGACCATTTGACTTCATGAAGGCACCTACTTAATTTATCTTTGCTAAACTCCTGAAGAATCTACTGGTAGTGAGTCTCCCCTTTCTGCCCCATGGAGAACCATACTTGCCGTCTGGGAGACTCTAAGGAGTTTTTTTTTTTTTTTTTTTGTCCTTTTTGAGACCGGCCGCACCGCTCTCAGCCAGTGAGCGCTGTGAGCGCACCGGTCATCCCCATATAGGATCCGAACCCGCGGCAGGAGCGCCACCGCACTCCCAGCGCCGCACCCTCCTGAGTGCGCCACAGGCTCGGCCCAGACTCTAAGGAGCTTTGAACTTGGGTAGGAGTGGGGAGAAGATGGAAGGGGGGAAAGCCCACTGTAGGTAAAGTGAAGGAAAATGGTCAGGGCCCCTCAGGTGTTAAGAATATTGCCGAGCATTTGATGTAAATATGCACATGTGTCCAGGTATTTTTGTTTGTTTGTTTTGTTTTTACTTAAGAGATGACCAGTAAGGGGATCTTAACTCTTGACTTGGTGTTGTCAGCACCACGCTCTCCCAAGTGAGCTAACCAGCCATTGCTAAATAGGGATCCGAACCCGTGGCCTTGGTGTTACCAGCACCACACTCTCCCGAGTGAGCCACGGGCCAGCCCTTCCTTAGTTATTTCATTTTTTTTTTTTTTCTTTTTGTCTTTTTTTACTGACCGGTAACAGGATCGCAACCCTCGGTGTTGCGCCCACACCGCGCTCAGCCAGTGAGCGGGAACCAGTCTCCACATGGGATCTGAACCCTCGGAGGGAGCGCCGCCGCGCTCCCAAGCGGCGCACTCTCCAGTGCGCCACCGGGCCGGCCCTTCCTTGGTTATTTCTAATGTAATTGCACATTTGCACCTGGGTGTTCTGGGTTATGGACTTAAGTATAAAGGATGAGTGGCTCTGGTCCACAGGGGCCCCCACCCCCAGGTGGGGAGGTGGCCACTACTGCTGCTAGGGGCTGTTGCTGCAAGCTGTTGCTGTCAGTGCCCCCGGGATGCCCCTAGAGGCTGCTGCTGCTGCTACTGAGGACTGAACTCGTGTCATCTGCCAATGGCTCCTGGGATCTTTCCCAATTACCTAGAGCACGGACCTGCTTGTGAGGAATCTGGTGACCCAGTCTGTACAATGGGTTTGAAGGGTCTGTGAACCCTAGCCCTTACAATACAAATGGAAACTTAGTATAACTAAAACAACAAAACATTTTGCCCTAGTTATGAGTTGCCTAGCCATACAACTGGTGTAGCTTTACACCCACTTGCTTAATCCTAGCCAGCTAGTTATGGCACAAAGCCAGGAAACAATTTCAGTTACAATACAACCCATTCTAACAGCAAGGACAAAATAATGTACCACAATGTGGAAACTGGCAGAAGTGTCTGGGAAGGTCCAGCCAGCACTTACAGGTGCGACAGGATTGATGGGGAGGGACTGGGTGTAGTTCAAGTGGCATCCACAGAGACAAGAGGCAAGGTCCTGGCTGAGGAGGGGGCAGGCAGAGGGGTCCTGCAGCCACAAGTCCCACTAAGTGATGGTTTTCCCAGCCCCTCACTCACCTGTCACAAAGGGTCACCTTGGGTCTGCGTCTCACCTGCAGACACTCAGCATGGAGAGGGAACAGGCCTGCAAGCAGGTAATCCCCAGGCAGGCTGAAGTCAGGAGAGAACTCCGTGGCTTGGCAACTGAAAGCCCAGCAGCAGGAGATGGAGAGCTGCAGGCCGACCAGGAGAGCTGCCTGGAGTAACATGCTGGCCGGACGCCCCTGTGCCCAGCATGGCAGAGCAGCACCCTCTAAGGAGGCCGGTTCCTTAAATAGAATAGACAGCAGCTGCCCAGACGCTTCTCAACTTCATGCCTGTGAAAGAGGTGGGATGAGCCCAGTTGTAGAAACCAGGTTGTTTGCCTTGGCCTTCCGGGCCTGTGGTCCCACTCAGGAACTGGGCAGGGCAAAGGCACAGATGCAAACTGGGTGGCTGCCAGTGACCCATCCTCTGGACGGTTGTGGGTTCTGTCCTTGCTCTGTTGTGTGTGGCTTTAGCTGGCTCAGGAAGGGAGCCCTGGCATTTTGGTGAGAGGCAGGAGGCTGCGACACAACTTCCCGGGCTACGGCTACGTGAGGGACTGGGTGGGGAGGATTGCTATCAGGAACCTGCGAGCTTTCGAACTTCTTGGCTGGATCTCAGTTTACCAGATGAGACATAGGTTTGCCAGCCCTAACCCCCCAGCACCCAGTTTTATTTCTGAGGGAATCATCATAGTTTCACCTTGTTATCCAGGGTTGCTCCCTTTAACCTAAAGACAAATGCATGCAAACCGAAGAAGGTATGCAAATAGACCAGTTTTGTTTAAAATGCTAATCCTGGAGGTTTTTCTGCAGGAAAAAAAAGACCCAGGTGGATTTCCGGAGAGCTGGCCCGGTGGCTGGGCTCAGGGTTTCTGATTTTCCCTCTCTAACCCGCCGGGTGGAGCTTTTGCATAATGTAAATAGCAGAGATGCCCCAAGCGGGCTGGCGCCTCCGCGGGGTCAACAGATTCCCCTCATGCGCTGCCGGGGGCCGCCAGCAGAGGGCGCCAGCGGCTCAGAGGCCGCTCCTTCCGGCGTCTCGACGGGCCGCGGGGCGGAGCGACGTCATCTCGCGAGATTCTCGCCTTGTAGGCGCCGGCCGCCCAGCATGGCGGACTCGCTGCTGCTGCCCAAGCGGGGCCCCGGCCGCCCGACTTGGCTGCGGGTCCGCAAGGCCCGGCCCCAGCTCGTCCTCAGCCGCCGGCTCCGCCG